TCCCTCTCTGCCTCTCCCGCCTCCCTCAGCCTCTCCCATCTCCCTCTCAGCCTCTCCCTCCTCCCTCTCAGCCTCTCCCGCCTCCCTCTCTGCCTCTCCCTCCTCCCTCTCAGCCTCTCCCAGCTCCCTCTCAGCCTCTCCCTCCTCCCTCTCAGCCTCTCCCTCCTCCCTATCTGCCTCTCCCTCCTCCCTCTCTGCCTCTCCCGCCTCCCTCTCTGCCTCTTCCTCCTCCCTCAGCCTCTCCCATCTCCCTCTCTGCCTCTCCCGCCTCCCTCTCTGCCTCTCCCTGCTCCCTCAGCCTCTCCCTCCTCCTCTCTGCCTCTCCCACCTCCCTCTCAGCCTCTCCCTCCTCCCTCAGCCTCTCCCTCCTCCCTCAGCCTCTCCCATCTCCCTCTCAGCCTCTCCCTCCTCCCTCTCTGCCTCTCCCTTTTCTCTCTCTGCCTCTCCCCCAGCAGCTGGCTGAGTAGCCGGCTGCCACTTCCTCCTCTGCTTTGCGTCACATGGAGGCAGGGCTGCCTCATCGTCTTCAGGGTTCTCAAACACTCTTCTGACCTGTGCCTGCCTTTCCCCTTTCTAGAGGACGAGACCCCATTTCCAGGATCCCTTGGTCGCCCCCGACGTTGCAGACAGAGCCTGCAGTAACAGGCACTTCCATCCTGTCCAGGCGGCACCATCCTCAGCAGTCGCACCAGGAATGAGCAGTTCTGTGTCTCATCTTCCGCTAATGAGGTGATGGTAGAGGGCCCGACCAGTCCCCAACACGGTGGGTTGTGTCTGTGCTGGGTTAAGGCGATGAGTTGGCAGGAGGTCCTGCAGGGGCTTCTGGGAAAGTGACGTCATGCCAAAGAAAAGGTGCTGGTGCTATTTTGGACACCATCCCATTGGGCTGTGACAACCGGAACTGCTGCAGGCATCTTGCAAGCTGGCGACCGCTGCAGCCACCCCTGAGCCTGGCAGAGCAAAGAGCTGGGAAGAACCTGCGTCCTCGGTGCCGGTGGTGCCTTCCCACCAGCCTCGAGCCGCCTCAGTTGCACCTGTCAGCGCCGCACGTCCCCGTCCTTGGATGCCGTTGCCCCGGGTTTGCTCTGTTTGCGGACAAAGTCTGCTGGCTGTCTTCCCCATCCCTGCTGGTCCCATCCAGCCCACTAGTTCTGGGTGTCAGCCTCTGTCCAGCGTGGCCTGGAGTTTGGGAGCCCGTGGGGCTGGACTCATCCTTTCTGGTTGCTTTCGCAAGGCTTCGGCCTGCTCCTCCCTTCCCATCAGGAGCTCCAGCGTGCTTCCTGCCACGGTCTCAGCTTGGGCTGCCGTAACAGCACCGCTGGGGTGGCTTCAGCGCAGTCCACCTCAGTTCTGGAGGCTGGAGTCCGAGACCAAGGCGTCACGGCCGCCGCCTCCCGACGCCTCTCTCCGTGCCTTGCAGGCTGCTGCCTTCACGACCCGTCTCCTCACATGGTCGTTCCTCTGTGTCCTCATCTCTACAAGGACCCCAGTCAGACTGCATTCGGGCCAACCCTTACGGCCTCATTTGGACTAAGTTACCTGTCAAAAACCTCACTCTCAAACACGGTCACATTCGGAGGCGCTGGGGGTTGAGGCTTCCACACGAGGTTTGTGGGGACACAGTTCAGCCCCTGCCAGGACCCCAGCTGTGCTGCTGGATACATTGTTAAATTGGGACTTGGGAGAAAAGAAAGCCATTTCGTGTAAAAGTTGAAGTTACTTCAATTAGTTTTTCTAGAATGTTAACCTCGAGGCGCCAGTGAGAGTAGTCAGCCCTCTGCCGCAGTCCCCACCTCAGAGTCACCTGTCAGAGTCACTGGGTAGCAAAGGGAACTGCCCAGGGACCACGCTGCTGTCCTAAAACGCGGCCACATTTCGCTTGATTTTACATTCACCCCTTGAAATGCTTTCTCTGACCAGCGGCAAGAAAAGAATGAGGAGATACAGAAGAAGGAACGAGGCCTGTTTGCTGAGTGGCTGCCGGCTGCCCACCCTTTCCCTGAATGACCCACCAGAGCTGGAGGCGGGGTTACAGCCCTCACTTTGCAGAGACAGGCGGCCTGGCTGAGGACAAGTCCAGTGGTCGCAGTAAGTGGCCGACTTCAGGCTTGCGGGGTGCAGCAGGGCTTGTGCAGGCTGCTCCAGTTACTCGCTTCCTGACCCGTTATTTTACATATGTCTTCTTCACGGAAGCAGAGCCTTGTTTTTCTGAGAATCTTGCAGCCTGTCTTTGGGACCAGTCCCCGGCCTTGTTGACATGGGGGACTGGTTTTGTGAAGGACAGTTTTTCCATGGCTGGGGCTTGGGAGTGGGGTTGCTTTGGGATGAAGCTGTTCCACCTCGGGTCATCAGGCAGTAGATGCTCATAAGGAGCGTGCAGCCTCGATCCCTCACGTGAGCAGTTCGCAACAGTGTTCACGCCCCCGTGAGAATCTAATGCGGCTGCTGATCTAACAGGAGGGGGAGCTCAGACAGTCATGTTCACTGGGCTGCTGCTCAGCTCCTGCTGTGTGGCCGTTCCTAACAGGTCATAGACTGCTGCCGGCCCCCGGCCTGGGGATGGGGGACCGGTGATCTAGCAGACTGAGGCCAGATTGAGGCAAAAACAAATTTACGGAAGACCCACGCTGGCTGCCTGGAGGAGAGGCAGTGACTGAATGGGTCCTTAGCTGCCCCAGACCCTGTGAGCAGGTCTCACCTGGGGACACCCGTGGTACTTTGGGAACCCAGGGGAGGGGAGGGAATGAGAAGGTGGGCAAAGGAGGAGGCAGCCTTCATACTGAGTTTGCGAGCGTTCATCTGGCCTCACACCACCACAGAGGAGTCTCTTCCACTCTACCTGAAAACACCAGTGTCATCTGGAGGTACCCAAAAGTGTAATTAACACACACGTTTCTCCTAATTTGCACAGTTATTCTGATCCTGAACGGATCAAATGAGGAACTGGATTGTGACTCAGGAAAGTGAAGTCACAGAACTCTTAAGAGCTGAGAAAAATGGGTCACTGTGTTCGGTGCTTCCCAGGACACGGGGCCTGCAGGCGAGGAGCCAGGCCCCGAGCATTCAGCGAGCTGTCCAAGCCGACGTGACTAAGGAGTTCAGCGGGGACCTCTCAGATTAACTCCAAGAAGGAAAGTTGCTCCTTGCTCCTAAACTTTTCCATAGCTCTCTGGCTGGCACACTCAGCCGGCATCGAGCCCTTGCCCTGTCTGCCCCTTGGTGACCCCATCAGGACAGTGCCGTGGCTGTGTCTCCCTGGCACTCTTTACCGGAGCGGCGGGGCCTTGGATTGCAGGGATGGCAGCCTCTATTCCGGGCGATGCCTGGACACAGAGAGTATGTGATAGGCGCTGAGGGGGAGGCTCACAGACTGATGTCCTTCAGCTGGCTCCAGTGACCATGTGCCCCTGGAATTCGAGGGGACCGTGGAGCCTGCTTCCAGGCTTTGAGAGCTCAGGTCTGTTGCAAATTGAATTGTATCCACAAAGAGAAACGTTGAAGTCCCAGCCTCTGCTACCTGTGACTTTATTTGGAAATAAGAAATAGAGTCTCTGTAGATTTTATTAAGACGTACGTTGGCCGGTCACAGTGGCTCACATCTGTAATCCCAGCACTTTGAGAGGCCAAGGCAGGCAGATCATAAGATCAGAAGATTGAGACCATCCTGGCCAACACAGTGAAACCCCATCTCTATTTGAATACAAAACATTAGTTGGTTTGGTGGTGCATGCCTGTAGTCCCAGCTACTTGGGAGGCTGAGGCAGGGGCATTGCTTGAACCCAGGAGGTGGAGGTTGCAGTGAGCCAAGATCACACCACTGCACTCCAGCCTGGCAACAGAGCAAGACTCTGTCTCAAAAAAAAAAAAAAAAAAAGATATAAGTTAAGGTGACACCATACTAGAGTTCGGTGGCCCCTTCGTCCAATATGACTGGTGTCTTTTTGAGGAGAGGGGAGCTGGTGGCACAAGGGAGAGACTGCCACGTGAGACACGGCCACTGGCCCTGTGAGGGTGGAGGCAGAGTTCGGAGCTGCCCGTGGAGCAGCCGAGAAGAGCCGAAGGTGGCCCAAAACCAGCGGCAGTGGGAAAGCTGAGCCCTGCGCACACTGCGGCCTCTGGCATGATGAGAGAAACTTTGGGTGTTTTAAGCCACTGAGTTTGTGACAATTCATTACAGCAGCCACAGAAAAAACCTACAAGGCCCCTCTCTGTGCCTGGGCTTTTGTTTGCTGGTCTGGAACTGCTCTGTCTGAAGGGACAGGTCCCTCTTCCACAGCACATTCTGTGTGTAATGGAGCACACATGTGACCAAACTGACTTGGAGACAGGGCCTGCCCATGCCGGTCTCCCCAGTTCTGAGGCCGGAGAGTGACTGCGGGGGCTGAGACGGGGCGGGGGCAGCTCAAGCCAGCCTGCTCTGGTGGAGCCCCTGTGCCGGGCAGCTGCACCATAGGATCCAGACCCTTCCGGCCCTGCACGCCAGACCTCTTCAGGGATTTGTCTCTGCTCCCCCGGTCTCGGCCGCCACTGAGGGCAGGTGGCGGGAGCCCCCAAAAGACGCTGTTACCTTAAGGCTCCCTCCCCGAGAGGCCTCTGCCTTCTGGGAGGTGCAGCTGCCCTGCACAGGGGCCTGAGTCAGTCTCCACCAGAGCAGGCTGGCTTGAGCTGCCCCCCAGCCTCAGCCCCTGTGGGCACTCTCCAGCCTCGGAACTTGGGAGACGGGTGTGGGCAGGCAGGCCTTGTCTGCAAGTCAGTTTGGTCACAGAGTGTGCTGTGGAAGACGGACATGTCCCTTCAGACAGAGCAGTTCTAGGCATACCTCTGGGCACTGGTGGCCTCAAGAGGAGTCATTCCCTGACCCTGTGGAACTCCCAGCTAAGCAAGATGGACATGTTAAAATTCCAGGATCAGATGGTAACTTTGTCAGCAGCCCCTGTTGTTTATATCGGTCATACTAGTTAAATCTAGAAGAGGTAGAAATCACACAAGCTGTCATAGTTAAGGGTCTTTGAAAACCAGATGACACAGTGCCCACATCAGACTGACTCGATAAAGGACAATGATTGGCTCTTGGAACAAAAGGGGGATGACTTCAGGAGAGGCTTGATCTAGCAGCTTGTCTGGAGACCCATTACCCATTCTCTGCTTTCCCTCAGGACTAGCCTTGTGCTCAGGCTCCACTCAGAGGCACCGGGGGCAACCCAGTCTTCCCTTGGGGCTGCAGAGGGGCAGCGACCTCCCCAGGCTCATGTTCCTCTGCTGGGAATCCTAAGGAGCAGGGGGAAGCATTCTCTTTTTCAGAAGCCGCAGTAAATGTCTCCCTGAGACTCACTGGCTCTGTTTGATTTCTCACCCACCCATGAACTTGTCACTCTTCTGGCAGGCGTGGCTCTGCTGTTGGCTTGAGCCTATCAGGGCCTGGCCTGGAGCTTGGGGTGGCGTTGGTTCCACTCAAGCCACAGATCTGGCAATAGTGGAGCAAAATCTGGGCACTGTCAAGAGCAGGAGGAGGCATCCATGGTGGCAAGAAAACCCAGAGCTGCCCACTTGATGGGCCAGAGGAGGGAAGTAAGGTTGGCCTCAGCGCCACCACCCAGAGGGCCACCGTGGTAATGGGCCTGTGCTTCCAGGCCTGGGTGGCACGTGGAACGGCGTTGGTGATTATGCCGACGCCCCGAGGGGCGTTCCTGGAGCAGTCACTGCGCCCAGGCTTCATGCTCCGCAGTGCTCCACACACCCTGAGCCAGTGAATCCTCAGCACCCCAGAAAGAATTCATGTATATGGAGCCCCTGTTCTGTGCTGGTCATTGTGGGTCCAAGGTGGAGGCAGCTCCCCATCACGGGCTGCGTTCTCGCAGGCCACAGATGTGGCCGCTGAAGCCGGGAGAGGCGAGGCCGCTCAGCTGGAAAGTTGCAGATCTGAGATCATCCCCAGGGCCTTTTACTCCAAAACGTGTGCCTTACGTGTGTCTATACATGCTTGTGAGTTTTAAATAGCTGCTCACCTTCAGCCGTCCACTGCCAGCCGTCCACTGCCAGCCTGCTTGGCTGCCCTTCTCCAGGCCAATGGCCAAGACACTGCTCACAGGGTGGCTGCCTGGGAGCCTTGAAACAGGTGTAGCTGGCGAAGCAGGCCCTGAGTTGCGTGCACGGGGCCTGGCCGCAGACGCCCCGGCGGAGGCTCCCTGTGTTTCCATTTTTGCAGCCTGAGCCCTTTCTTCTCCAAGAAGCTGCCCCAGCAGGCAGGCGTGGTCATGCAGTAGCTCTGCGGTCCTGGCTCAGTCACTACCTCTCTGGGCCTTGGTTTACTCATCTACAACAGGGGTCGGCAAACTACCACCCTCAGTCCGAATCCAGTCTGCTGCCTATTTTTGTAAATAAAGCTTTATTGGCACACAGCCATGCTCACTAGTTCACAGAGCGGCTGTGGCTGCTTTGGCACAGGGCAAGAGCCTAAAGCCACTGTGTGGCCTTTACGGAAAACCTGCCGGTCCTTGACCTAGCAGATGGGATGACTGTGTGCAGCAGAGTGCAGGCGCTGGGAGGGCCAGGCTGTGTCGGTGGCTCTCACCAGGGTGGTGTCCCCTCCCTGTCATCAAGCCATGGGGTCGTTTCAACACGTGGAGAGAAACTGCTCGGGGTTGAGCACAGGCCTGGCACACAGGGCGTGCTCAGGAACCTCCAGCCGCGGTGCCTCCCATGATTAAACAAAGGCAAGGGGGACTGCCCGGCGGGCTCGGAGGGCCCGGGGTCCCGAATAGGAGCTGATCCTCGGGTGAGACCACTCAGCTCTTAAAGTGGCTGTCGGTTGAGAGGCTTGTCTCAGCTGCCGCTAGGTGCAAATTAAAAGGATTAATGGACACGGCCGTCTTTGAAAGGCTCAAGGCCCACCGAAGCCCCTTCAGCGGAGGGCTCCGCATTCTGCCTTCCCCAGCCCTCCTTGTGTGCCCCCGTGAGTGGCGGTGACAATGCTCCCGGATGTGGGCCCCAAGGCCAGCGGCCCCGGAGCTGCCCGCCCACCCGTCCGCTGGCTATTGTCTGCTCCGGCCTGGCGGTGTGGCGCTGGGTCTGTGGGGCCCCGGCGGGCAGGGGACTGTGGGAACGGATTAGAGGTCTTGGGCTTGCTTTCCTCGTCTTGCATAAACTCTTGATCAAAGACATTCCTGGGATGACAGAGCCCTGTGAGCTGCGAGGCTGGCCCAGCGTGCGGGACGCACACCCCACACTGCTGCCCCTGCACAGGCCTGCCCTCACTGGCCCTCGCTGGCCCTCGCTGGCCCTCACTGGCCCTGGCTGCAGTGCTGACTATGGGGACCAGCCTTATGGTGGGGCCGGTGAAGGAGTGGGTGCCAGGAGGCAACCCAGTCTTCCCCACCAAACTTGGAGGCCAGGCCCCCGGCGCTTGCGGAGCGAGGCTGTGACTCTGCTTCCTGGGGCGCTTCGAGGAGGGTCACACCGCATGCAGGGTGGCTGGAGGGAGTGCCGGACGCACGCCACCGCACTGCTGCCGGGCCTGGCTGCTCTGGAATCCCACGGGCGGGCACTGCCCCACCCTGCAGCAGCCCCACCCACTGTTATCCCACAAGCTGGGTCTGAAGTCCCAGTGCCCACTTCGCCCAGCCACTTTCCTCTGTCCCCTCGGGGCCTGCCACTCCTCACTGTGACAGCTGTAGGTGCTGTCCGGGTCCCTGGAGAGCCCCCAGCCCTTCCAGCTGTGGAGCCAGCTGCCAGCACGCAGGGCAGGCCGGACCCATGGCTCTGCAGCTCAGCCCAGCAGCTTGGGGCTGCCCTGTGGGAGCTGGCATGCCTCCCTTCCATTCGGCCCCCTTCCTAGGACCCACTGTTTGCCAGAGTGGGACGAAGGGTGGCAGAGAGGAAGCGGGGAGATTTCCATCCTGGAGGGGCTCAGTCCGAGCAGGAAAGCACCCAGGCATGGCAGTCCTGGGGTCCCAGAGCCCCCTGTCCGGTGCGAGGTGGGGAAGCCTTCAGAGACTGTCCTCACAGGGAGTGTGGAGATGGAGGTTCCTGTGGGCAGCGGACAGATGCGTGATGCCATCTGGTGTGTCGGGAGCCCCTGGACAAAGACATCGAGGTTAGCAGGGGGGTCAAGGCTGGGGAGAGACGGGCTGAGTCCCAGGGACCTTGTGAGGGGCTGAGGGGAGATAGGAAGGTGGCGGTGGGTTGGGGGGGCAGAGGGTGAAGAGTGGATAAGGGCTGTCTGGCTGCAGGAAGATGGTCCAGGATGCAGGGCAGGGCCCCTCGTGAGCCATAGGGGTGGCAGGGCGCATGTGAGCAGGCTTCTGGGAAGGGGCTGCGGGGAGGGCCGACTGCTTCAGGCTTTGTCTCTGAAGCTCCTCAAGGGTCAGTTTTTACTGTCACCTCCTGGGCAGCGCAGATACCTTAACAAGGGACAAGGTCTTCACTGTAACCCAGGAGGCAGCTGCAGGCACCCACATGATGTCAGTGGAGTTTGAGCGTTGGGAACAAGGGCCTAGAGTGGCCAGACGACACCTTTGATATGGTTTGGCTGTGTCCCCCCCCCGAATCTCATCTTCAATTGTAGCCACGTGTCATGGGAGGGACCCGGTGGGAGATCATTGACTCTTTGGGGCGGTTCCCCCATACTGTTCTCGCGGGAGTAAGTTCATGAAATCTGATGGTTTTATGGGGTTACCCTTTCACTTGACTCATTCTCTCTTCCCCGCCTCCATGGAAGACAGGCCTTTACCTTCTGCCATGATGGTGAGGCCTCTCCAGCTACACAGAACTGTGAGTCTATTAAACCCCTTTTTCTTTATAAATTATACATTACCCAGTGTCGGGTATGTCTTTTATTTTACTTTATTTTTTTTGAGACAGAGTCTGGCTTTGTTGCACAGGCTGGAGTGCAGTGGCCCGATCTTGGCTCACTGCAACCTCCACCTCCGAGGTGAGTGTGTCTTTATCAGCAGTGTGAAAAAGGGCTAATACAGCCTTGGAGCTCATGGCATAACCAGGGGGATGTACAGACCCACCCATCTTGGCACAGCCGGGGCTGGGGATGTACAGACCCACTCATCACTGGATGTCACAGATACTGAGACAGAGAGAGAGGGCTGGGGTGGGGGGGAGCTTGCAATCATTTCACTCTGGCCCCAAGCCCTCTCTGCACTTGGCTGTGAACCCGCCTGACCCACTCAGGGCCCCTGCCCTGCGCTGCCAGCCTGCCTGAGCCCCGCACTCAGCTCCCTCTCTCCCAGTAGACGCGTCGCTGCCTTTTGGCTCTGCCAGACCTATCAGCCTGCACATCCCTCTTCCATCTTAAAACACTTCCAAACACTGAAGTACCTTCCTAGACCCGTCTGGTTCCTCTCCCTGCCCGGCAGTCGCTCTTGGGCGTCTTCCCCACATCCTTGCTCAAACCTAGCAGGATCTGCTGGCGACCTTGCCTGCTCCGTGAAACAACCAAAGACAACCACAGGTTCCCTGTGCAATGGTTGGAGCTCCCTGCTTGGGCCTCCTGCTACACCTGTGTGCTCTTGGGGGATGGACGTGAACCCAGCTGCAGGCAGGGAGTATGGGTGTGGGTTCCCTAGGACCTCAGCCCTGACACAGGGCCTGGCCCTTGCCCTATGTCTGGACAGCTGCAATGGTGCTGACCTGGCCCCTACCTTCAGGGCGATTTGCCCCAGGAGCAAGGAGCTGGGCCTCGGAAGCCACCCGACTGGCCACCAGTGTCCCCTCTGGCTCCGACTGTCCGTTGAGCTCTTGCTGACGTGACCTGTTGGGGCCACCTGCATGCCTCCCACCCACTCAATATGGTGCTCCCTTGGGGAAGGCTCCCAGAGCCCCCACCCTCAGGGGAGAGGCTGGTGACCTACAAGGGCCGGGTGTCCCCTCCACACCCCACCTTCCTCCCAGGGCAGCCGCCTGTGGAGCCAACACACTGACCACCCTGGCCCCACTGTGGGCCCTGGGAGAAGCGCTCTATGAGGCAGAAAGGGCAGACAGCAGGTACTTAATAAAGGCCATGGAGATTTGACCTGCAGCTGACAAGTAGCACCCATCAGTGGTGTGGGACCTGGGCTTCCACCTGGCTTGGGGTGAGGACAGACCAGCCTCACAGATGAGTCCAGGAGCTGTGACCAAGGTCCATGGACACCTTCCCAGGGCACTCCTGCTGCCTACCTCCACCGGGGGTTTGAAGTTAAGTCCAGTCACGTGCTCCTGAAATCCAAAGGGAGACGTCATGGCCATCCTTTAAGGCGGCCTCCAGGTCCCTGGATCATGACCCTGACGCTCTTGATCAAAGTTTTTTATAAAAAACTTTGCTCTCCTGGAGCCTGGCATCGCCAAAGGACCGTGATTCACCCAGAGCAAACAGAAGTTTGCGCCAGAAGAGGGTTAACGAATGCTGGCTGTATTTATTCTCCTATCTGCAAATAACCTGGGAAGACAAACTGGCGAGGCAAGGGGCGGGAGATATTCCCAATCAATGGGCACCGCTCACGTCACCCGGGCCAGACCTGTTGTCTCGCGTGGGTGGAGTCACCTGGCCAGGCTGCCTGCAAACTTCTCTGGAGCCTCCCTGGGACAGGAGACCCCTTCCCACCTCACACACCTGGGCTCAGGGCTTCCTACCAGTTGGAGGAGTGTGCCCAATCCTGGCTGGACTGTCTCCAGCCCCCAGCATGTGGCAGTGTCAGGAGACACTCATGGTTGTCACAGTGGGTGGCGTGACGGTCATCTTATGGGTGGAGGTTGGGATGCTGCTGGAGTTCCCACAGCGCACATGTGGCCTCCCGAACTGCTGAGCCTGCCACCCCACCTTGGTCCTGAGGTACCAGGACGCACGCCTCTGGCTTCCCGCCAGCCCAGGAAACAAACAGGCAGGCACCATGCTGGGGTTTTACCGGTTTTATTTCTAGACTTTCATGTTTGTCTTTTGTCTTCTGCTGGAAACATGCCGGTTACATGTTGGTGCTGGGAAGCGCCACGGTGCAACCAGAAACACAGACCCAGCCGCCTGCCGCCCAGACCCTCAGACTTGTGCGTCACAGGACAGACTCTGCAGTGCCCCGTGCACCTGCCACCAGCCTTTGGCCTCTCGACACACACATCCAGGACTCGTGCCCTCGCCCCATCACGATGGACAAAGTGTCCCTCAAGGGCCCTGCGTGGTTCAGATAGACGCTGCAGCCAGGATGGTTGAGGTAAGCGTGAGCCGTGTTCCGGAGGGGTGGGGCGGGACGGGCCTGTGCCCGCGATGGCCTCCGAGCACAGGATGACCCTGCCAGGGCAGGGCTCCAGCCATGCGGGCCCGGTGGGGGGGAGGGGTGCAAATTATTTTGGTTTGGCAGCTTGCTAGGTGACTTGGGCACACAGCACTGTGAGCTGGCTTCATTGAGATTTGGAGTCTCTTTAAATCAGCACTATGCTGTAATTAACAAAACAATAACGAACAGAACACTAGTACATAACAGATTAAACACACCCAAAACTTGAACAAATTCCAGAAGCTATTCCAATCATCCCTAAGCAGAGTCCTACGGGCCCAGCACCGTGGCGGCACGTAAGACACACTTGTTATAACAATAATCGTCATCATGCAACTTCCATAGCTACACGCAAAGAATGACACAGCTGTAAGAACTATGATGACGCTACGATCCGATGAAGAGCCCAGTATCACAGGCGCGGGGAAGAGAGGATGGACACAGCCTGGTCTCGGGGGACACCCGCCTGTCTGTGTGCCGAAGCAGACAGAAGCTACCAGCTGGGTCCGCCATGGCTAAGTGAAGCATGAGGTATTGTGAAACAGGAACCTTTTTGGAATAGAGCAGTAATCACATTAAGTCAAAACTGATCACATAAAAAAAAAAAAAACTACAAAAAAGGCATCAGTAATACAATGTTCTAAGAGAAAATTAAAACTAGTACATGGCAGTATATGACATTGTAAAACAAAAAACTGATCCTCCAGTAGCAGCAAACAATGTGAAGAGATACAGAGAAGCGATGTGAATGTTTCCAAACCGTGCCTGGAAGTCAACGGTAGCAGCGCAGAAAGAAAACGGAGCTGCAGCCTGTCCCTGGCGTGGGCACCGCCCCGTCCCCCCGGGAGCTGCAGCCTGTGCCTGGCGTGGGCACCGCCCCGTGCCCCCGGGAGCTGCAGCCTGTCCCTGGCGTGGGCACCGCCCGTCCCCCTGGGAGCCTCCTCCTCACTCCTCCCGCCCATCTTCCCTCACACATCAGCCTCCACACTCTGGCCACCTGCCTTCAACACTTCCTAAATAAAAATTACAAGAATTCCATAGCCAAGACGTGCAAATTGTCTATTCTGTCGCTAAGTTTTTTTTAAAGGAAGGGGCAAGGGATAAGAACATCTAGGAACTGAACTTCTGCCAAGTACCCTAACTTTCCTTGTGACACCTTTTCAATCAGATGACTTTGGGGAACGCCAAACAGGCTGAGTGAATGTCTTTGTGTGGTCTTCCTCCAGATTGTTCTTCTCACCTATAAAAGGACCTAGCTTTAAAACAAACTGTATGATACCTGCAACATCAAAGGCAGAAGGGGCGTGTGTATGTGTGTGTGTGTGCGCGCGTGTGTGTGTGTGTGTGTGTGTCTAAATCAAGGGGAGATTGCATTACTTTATAAATCATACTGGCCTTATGAACATCCTCTGCAATAAATATACTTTTTTAGCCTTAACTATAAATTATATATTTTAGTGTTTAAAAGCCTTCCGGTGTGAAACATCTAAGGTAACCCTTAACCCGCCTGCTCCCTAGGTAAACCTCTGAGGTCCCTACGTTCAAACACCAGTTGGCACCAAAGGATTCCTAAACTTCAACTTCTTTAAGAGAAAAAAAAAAAAAAAAACTCCAGCCTGGGCAAGAGAGCAAGACAAAAAAAAAAAAAAAAAAAAAAAAAAAAGGAAAGGAACTTATCATCCTGGCAATGTGAGAATGCAAACCTTTTTCTTCCTGACTGGCACGCAGCCTCCCAAACACTCACCTCCGCTGCCACCACGGTGGCCTGCACCTACCTCAAAGTCCTGCTCGTACACAAGTACACGGATATTCCCAAACCATTCCATTAGAAACCTGCTCTCCCTCCGCACACACAAAAACAGCGCTATTTCCTACACCTATTGGACTGAAAGTGCTTGGAAATGGAATGGTTTTAGAATATGGAGAAAGAAAAAAAAAAACAACCAAGTCGCTGTGGATTGAACCTGGACGTCAGCTGGCTGCAGGGCCGTTGGGTAAAAAACCAGCATCTCATAAACAGGTCACTACAAAAATAGGAGGAGTATAAAAATAGAATATATTATGTCACTATTTCGTCTTCTCTTTCCAGTAGCGTATCGTGGGAGTGGGACAGGTGGCCTTTCCCGACCCCGCCACGCCGGCTGGTGCCTGACAAACGTCCACTGTGGTGGTGGCCACAGGCACAAAGGACACACACACGGGCACGCTACGCTACTGTAACCAAGAGGTGACTTCAGCCATGGATAAGGTGAAGAGGTTATACATCTACCTATGGAATATAATAACATACAATGACTTATAAAGTGACTACATGCAGATGAGCAAGCAAGTTACAGAGACGCCTACAACCGCACTACTGCCGTCCTCTTCGGGAAAAGCACAAGAATACCTTTTGCTACCTAAAACCCTCTTCTACTTTAAAAAATGGTTTGCTGAATTTTTCTATTTTTTTTTAAAAATGTTTTTATGCTTTTTTTTAACACGCAAAGAATCGAACCTAATCCTCTCCCGAGACCTCTCCTTTGTGTTAATACCTACGCTTACAACAGACACACAAGTACGTTAATATAAAAACTAGTTGATTACTGGGGTATAAAATCCTCTATTTTTGTAGCACAACTCTCCTGTCCCCCGCCGCTCAGGGTTACGCGAATACTATTTTTTCTCTCTCTCTTTTAAAGACAGTTTTTGGGTAATCTTTTTCTTTTGCTTAAGTCAGAGATGGAAGGGAGAAAGAGCAAAGGAAAAAAAAAAACCAACAACAAGGAGAATGAAGCTTTCCCTTCTGGTATCAAAATGCCCCAGAGAGGAGGGGCTGTCAGGGGAGCACCTGGGGCCGGCTCCACCCTCGCTGCGGGTGGCGGTGGCGCCCGCCTTCCTGGCGCCCTCAGATGTCCACATCCCGCACGTCGGTGGGTGTGCAGGCCAGGTCCACCTCCTCCTCCTCCTCTTCCTCCTCCTCAGAGGCCTTGGGGTCCTGGTTCTGCTGGGCCTGGCGCAGGCTCGACTCCAGCAGGCCTTCGATCTGCTCCTGGCAGGCCCGGAGGCAGTCCTGAGATGGGAGGGGGAGAGGCGGGCAGAGGGGGCCTTAGAGGGGGCCTGCAGCAAGGGCCCCTTCCCCGGTGTCATGACCTGGAAGGCTTTTATTTTATTTTATTTTTTTATTTTTTATTTTTGAGACGGAGTTTCGCTCTTGTTGGAGTGCAATGGCGCAATCTCAGCTCACCGCAACCGCCGCCTCCTGGGTTCAGGCAATTCTCCTGCCTCAGCCTCCTGAGCAGCTGGGATTACAGGCATGCGCCACCATGCCCAGCTAATTTTTTGTATTTCTAGTAGTGACGGGGTTTCACCATGTTGACCAGGATGGTCTCGATCTCTTGACCTCGTGATCCACCCGCCTCGGCCTCCCAAAGTGCTGGGATTACAGGCGTGAGCCACCGCGCCCGGCCCCTGGAAGGTTTTTATAAGGGCGAGACTAAGCCAAAAACTCTTCCTCGGCCCACGCTGCCTCCCCCAAACCCGGGTGAGACAAGGGAGCTGCCGTCACCTGTCAACTGGGCACTCAGGACCGAATGTCTCCACCTCCCACCTGGCCTCCCGAGCCACAGGACACCAGATGCTGCCCACCCACCCCGCACTGCCCCTGCCTGTCCCCATGCCCAACAGCGCCTGGACCTCCTGTTCCCACTGGCCTGCCAGCTCCCCGGGGAATTCAGTGCCATCTGATCTGATCTAGACAGAGGCCCTTTGAGCCCTGCTTTTTCAGACTTAACCTCTCCATGTGGCGGCACTTGAGGTGAACCTGGCCTTCCATGATCAGCTGCTGGACAAGCCTTCGGCCGTGCATGACTGAGGATGAATGCTGGGCGGCCAGGAAGACCCGGAGCCCTGATCTCTCCCCCTCCAACCTCTCCCGCTCAGCCCTGCGTCCTGGGCCACCCATCAGCCCGGCATAGCACGCATCCACCTGCTTCGGCCGCAGAGATGCTCGGCCCAGGGCGGAGTGCGACAGAAGTTCCTGGAAGTCCTTCCGGCACCCTTGGGGGCTCCACACTTCCTTGGCAGCGGCCACACCATGCCAGCAGTGGGAAGGGGCAGCCGTGAAATCTGGAACCCCTGTGCCCAGGGGCCTCTCCCAGGCTCCTCTACCGGCAAGTCCCAGGCAGCCTTAAGTGGCTGCTTACTGCCCCAGGGGCTTCTGGATAGAGAACCAGCTCCACGTGGTGGGGCTGTGTGCGTCCCAACTGCCAGGAAGCCACACGAGGGCCTAAAGGCAGGTCTCTAGGCAGCCCTGGAAACAGGTTTTCCACTAGGAGCAGAGCGGGGCCACAGCCCTCCATGCGCCACGCAGGGGCTGCAGAACTCCCATCCAGATGGGGCCGGAGGGGCTGGATGAAGGCATGGCATGACAGGCGAGGACCCAGGCCGGAAGGGCTTCTAGCTGGACCCCTGGAGTCATGACATCTTAGAGCCCCAAGCCTCTAGAGGGAGGCCTTTCCTCTCCTGCCTTTCAGATACATTCTCATCATGGCAAATGAAGCTGGCCAGGTTGGCAGCGCAAACAGTCCCACTGTACAGATGGGGAAACTGAGGCCAGAAACCCGGGGTGAGACCCAAGACTCCTGATATTCAACCTAAAACCCCAGCCACTCTCAGTTCCCAGCCCCAGGGGCCTGGCAGCCCCCCCTTCACCTGCAGGCCCCCGCCCCCCATGACCCACTCCAGTCCCACACCTGCAGCTGGACTCCGGGCCCTTCCCTCATCCTTCTGGCCCCACAACTGCCTGCAAGGCTGCCCCGGTGGACAGAACATTTCCCCCACAGCCAGAAGCTCCAAGGAGGCAGCAGGCTTCTCAGCAAAAAGCCACTGGTGTGTGGCACAGCACACCCTATTCACACAGATGAACATTTGCCCACCAAAGAAAATTCTAGAACACTCCAGAGAAAATGTGGGGGCTTCTGCTGTCAAGGGTTTTCTAAGTCTGGGCTCAGCTAAGTGGGTCACTGGATAACCAGGCAGAGTGGACTCGGCCTCGGGGAACTTCACCCATGTGCCCATGTGCCCATGTGCCAGCCGTGAGGCGCCTGCTTTGGGTGTGCTTAAGATGTCTCCACTCAAGCAAGGGCGTCACAGGGCAGATGCCCCTGGGTGGGGGGGCGGTTTCCATTCAGGGCGTGGAGTTTGCAATGAGAAGTGCAGATGCTGAGTTTCATTAAGAACGAGAGGGGGGTGCGGGGGGCTTTCCCTTTGCTGGGCTTCTGGAGGCCTCCATGGCGTTTCTGAGCCCTTTTTCTGAGTGAACTGTGGGCTGCTGCCCTCCACCCTCCAGCAAGTGAGGACACTCACCACCCCCCCAGGATAACACCGGCAGGGTGCGAGGGAGGCCACGGCACAGGACACAGCAGGGAGGGGACGGCGCCCGGGCCGCCTCCAGTGTCCCGTGGCAAAAACGCTTCCTCTTCCAGAGGCACCGCCGGGCAGGGGACAGGCAGGTGGACCCGAGACAGCATCTGCTGAGACCCGTGCGGAGCCCCCGGGAGGCTGGAGGGCGGACCACCAAGAGACGGCCCAGGCCAGAGCCCACAACAGGCCTCGCAGGCCCACCCGGCCCCGAGCGGGGGTCAGGCGGTCACTCCCTCACACACCGCGGGGCCTGCGGCTGACCCGGCCACCTCTCCGGTCTAATTTGGTAAATGCCACAAACCCTTTTGATTGTCATTTTAATTCTTTAAGAAAAGACTCGGGAATAAAACAATGGCATTTTTAAGAAGAAAGACACAGTCATCCCCGGGTCTGACAGCAGCCGCCTCTCAAAGGGGCCGTGAACAACAAGGCTGTCGCTATCCGCCCGTTGTCCGGCGTCTCGGACCTCACAGGAGCCCCTTTCAAGCATCTATTTATTGGCCACGCACATTGTGGCCCAAACAAAGCTCGCCTGGGCCTACCCCTACACACCATCACCACACAGATCATTGGCTGGGGCCGCCTGGGGCTTCTGTCCTGGATGCTTCGCCCAGGAAGACTCTACAGCTCCTGGAAGCCCCAGGGGATGTGAGAAACCTGTGAGGACCCCCAGCCAGTCAGTGAATTCTAGGAGCAGGGGAAGAAGCTGGTGGCACTCTGAGTCCATGGCCTGGCGTGCAAGGGGCCTAGCCCCAACCTTTCACCCTTGGGGGCCTTGGCACCAGCCTCAGCATTTCCGTGGCACTGGATGTCTGCTGCCCGCCAGCCCGCCTGGCCATCGCCCTCACTCACCGGGTCACACTTGATCACTCTGGAGAGGAAGCAGGTGAGGCGATAGTAGGACAGGAAGTGGTTGGGGCTCCCCAGGTTCAGGCCTTGCACTGCGGCCACCACGCTCCCCGCCGCCACCATGGAGGGCGGATTGGAAATGAACTTCACATCTGCAGCAGAAGGAGAGAGGCAAGGGGGCTGTGGGCAGGGGACCCTCACGCAGGGCCTCGGTGATCCAGGCGTCCCTGAGTGCTGGCTCTGAGCAAGTGACCCGGCCTGCAGGGAACCATCCAGAATGCGCGGCTCCAAATCCAGGCTCTCCCCAGCCTCCAGCCTTCCCTGCGCACCGGGAAAGCAGGAGCGAGGCCCAGGGACCCTCCTGGAACGTCAGACCCGCTGTTGACTCAAACACAATCAAGCAAAGAGAAAGCCATGGGAAGGGAGACAGGGACATCACTATCAGCATCTCCAGCCTGTGAACGTCATCACTTATTCACAAAAACAAAATGAGATGACATGAACACGAGGACATAGAGATGGTGCCTCTGTGACCCTAATCCTAGTACCTGCCACCCTCCAGCAGCAGGGATTGAAGACAAGTCATATTCTGACGGGACATCACATGGATGACACCCAGGCCTCCACCTGGGCCAGGCCACGGGGCTGTAGGGCACTGCTGAAGCCATTCCCCATGTCCGTCAAGGGGCAAGCCCTGACTGGTGGCCTTAGGGTGGCTGTGATGGTGTGGCACCCTCTCAGGCCCCGGCACCAGGAGAGCCTGGCTTGGCTCACTCGGGAAGGAAGAGCTCTCCAGCAACCCACGGCCCTAACCATGGGACCATGACTGTCACGGTGACCTTCAGAGCGCGGACCAAGTACAACCCAACTCTACCCGGCCCTCCACTCAACACTGTATCTGGCGGGTGACAAAAAGGCTTCTCTGGGCCGTCTGATGTAGCCCAGCAATTCCAGCGACTTCCTAAGTAAGGGAAGAGGTGTGGGGTTCCCACCCCCAGTCACCATGGGACATCCCTGGAGGACTGGGCCAGGAGCCAGGCCCAGGAGGGAGCAGCTTTCCTAGGAAGGTGCCCATCCCCCACCCTGGGGCTTCCTGGGGACTGTTTCCCACATCTGGGCCCACTTCCAAGGGGGACACCAATCCAGGGCGGCTCATCAGGCTCTGGAGTCTGCACAAAACTCCCCCTGGTCACTGTCAGACACTGGGGCTCATCTGCCCGCCAGGTGGGTGCCTCAGCAGGCCAGCTCTCTCCATAGACAGCCTCGCCACCAATCATGTCCCCATTTGTGGCAGGGAACGCCGGCCACCCCTCCTCAGGGCAGCCGCGCACCGACCGTGGACAGGTGGGCCAGCATGGAATGTGCCTCTCGGCCTGGCCCCCACCCCAGCAGAGCCTGGGGGCAGCCTTTGGGTCGCACCCACGAGGAATTCTGCACAGGAACCAGGGGCCTGGGGCGGGAGCTGGACGCCGGCTGGGCCGAGTGTGGCATCTTTGCTGGCCCCATCGCCTCATCTCGCGCCACTGAGCACCCGGGAACAAGGGGGGCCGGGGGAGCTGAATGGGAGCCGACCCAGGCACAAAGGGAGAGGGGCCCCCACGGGCCGCCAGGGGTGCGGTGGCCCATCGCAGACTTCATCCCAAGAGAATAAACAACTTCGGCCTTGTTAAAGAGAGAGGGGCGCCGGCGAGGGGCTGGGAAGAAAGGCAGCCACCCTGAAGGGGAGACAAAGCTGGCTGCTGGGCGCCGCAAGGACTTAAAGAAATCCTTAACGAGCTGAGCCACCTCTTTTCCCCTTTAAATGGGAGCAGTTCCACACAGTCTGAGAGCCGGGAGCCATGAATGAAAACCTTTTCATTGAGGCAAATCAGAACTGCACACAGAGACCGCTTCTGCAGGGAGCGACGCGTTTGAGCTGGCCCCGCACCTTGAGAGCCCCATCTCATCCAGGGGCACATGCAGAGCGCAGTCACTCCCACATCGTTCCAGAAGCTCCTGCCCCCCCCCCCC